AGTTGTGAAGGAGAATGCAGTGGTTTCCCTATGAGACCCTGGCGTGGGGCGCCCCCGCGGTTCGGGTTTGGATGTGTGTTGTGCCTCAGGATGGGGGCAGGTGAGGTGCAGGGCTCTCTTCCACAGTGTCCACAGGGAAGATACGCACTACGGCTTTCTCCACTGGACAAAGCCAACGAAACTAGAAGCCCTTGTATTCAATTTTTAGGGGAAAAAAAAAACTTCCTAATTTTTAATTTTGAAACTGCCTGATGTGTGATCTGCTTCCTGAATTTACCTTCTCTTGTCCAGTACCTTGTCGTCAGGTTTGCTACTTGAACTGCTGTGTTTTGTTCCCAGGGACCCTACCAGGACACATTAGAATTCTTGTTGGGGAGCAGAGATGAGTGTAAGAACTTCTGGAAGATCTGTGTGGAGTACCACACCTTTTTTAGACTTCTTGACCAGCCCAAGCCAAAGGCAAAAGCTGTCTTCTTCAGCCGGGGCTCCTCCTTCCGATACAGGTAGGGCTGCCCCTGGGCTGCAGGGCTGGCCGGCCCCTGGTAGAGAGGGAGGTGGGCTGGGCAGACAGAACGGGCAGTGAGTAGCCACACGCAGGAGGTTCTCATGAGAGATGGTAACTGGACGGAGCTTATCAGCATAGTGGGACGGGGCGCCGCTCGGGGGCAGAGCGCTTGCCTAGCGCGTGCAAGGCCTGGGTGCATCCCCAGCACCACAGATGAGAAGAAAACAGGCGTGACAGAAACGTTGCCTAGAAGACCTGCACGCTTACTATAAAGTATGACTTCAAGACGTGCACACGCCTGTCCTCGAGCAAGGACAGAGGCCTGTGCGTCACTGCTGGCTCTTTCTTGAGAACCTGAGCCTTTGTTCACAGTGGGAGAACTCAGAAGCAGCTGGCAGAATACGTCCGAGACGGTGGGGTGAGGAGAACGCCATATGAAAGGTGAGCCCTGTGGTCTCCAGGAGGTAAAGTCTGTGCTTTTAAAGTTAACATGTCAGGGGCTGAGGCTGGGGCTCAGTGGTAGAGCGCTTGCCTCGCACCTGCGGGGCACTGGGCTCAGTCCTCAGCACCACAAAAAAAATAAATAAAGGTATTGTGTACATCTGCAACTAAAAAAAATATTTTTTAAATTAATAATTTTAATATTTATCTGAATAAAAGTCATTTCAAATTTACCAATTTTTTTTTCCCCAACTGGGGATTGAACCCAGGGGTGCTTAAGCACTCAGCCACATCCCCAGCCCTTTTTTATATTTTATTTAGAGACAGGGTCTCACTGAGTTCCTTAGGGCCTCACTAAGTTGCTGAGACTGGCTTTGAACTTGGGATCCTCCTGCCTCAGACTCCTGAGCTGCTGGGATGACGGGCTGGGTTGACAGGCATGCGCACTGCAACCAGCTACAAATAGGTTTTTTGATGCTTGATTCCTGTTTCAGTTTCTGTAAAAAGGCAGCTTTGTAGTCCCTACAGCTGTCATACCCGTGTACGTGCATGTGTGTATATAGAGAGGTGCTACGTGTGCTTCCTCGTGTGCAGAGCTGAGCCGACGTGGAGTGGTTTACACAGCGCAGTGACTCACGATCTGAAAACCCGTGGGAGAGGCCTCGTGATCCCACCTCCTGGGGATTCTGTTTTTGCTTTGATTCTCCTTCCTTGAATCCTGCCCATTCCTTGTTAAGTGCCAGTCTGAGCTTCATGCCCCACTGAGCTGTTCTTGCCTTCTTTCTCTCTGTGTGGGGGATTGGACCAGGTCTTGATGCCCTCCTCACACCTGGCAGGTGCTCTCCGCTGAGCTGCTGCTCTGTGGGAGCTGCCCTGCTGCGGGAGCAGGCCTGGGAGGGGAGGCTACTCACTGCCCGTTCTGTTTGCAGATGGCACAGCAAGACCCAGGCATCCCTCCGTGCTCTGACTGCAGACCTGCCAAAACAGGTTAGTCCTCCCTGGCCGAAACCTTGGGGCACTGCCTCTACCCTCTGGAAAACCACCTGCGTAGCCAGAAGCTCAGCTCGTCACAGTGGTCGGCCCTGCAGCTCCAGCCCTGGGACTCTTCAGCCAGGGGTGCTGGGCGAAGCCCAGGCCCCGCCTGGAGCTCTGCCACTCAGTGTCCTTCCCACTGGGACCCTGCACAGCCCTCGGTGGCTTCCCAGCCCAGGTTTAGTTGTCGTGCAGGCATGCACAGACACCTCCCAGAAGGATGTGGCTGGGACGTCCCAAGGAGCAGCAGCTGCTGCTCCATCCCCTGCTTGAGGACGGTGTGATGGTGTGTCTGAGTGTTGATTTCTACATGCATGAGGGACTGCACGTGGAGCCCTGCTCCTTCCAGGGGGTCCTGAGTGTGCCTGCCCGAGCTGCCCAGGCTGTGCTTCCTGCCCTGTCGCCCGCTGGCCTGTGGCTGACTCTGAGCGGGGTTGTCGGCAGCTGCGTGTGCACCTGTGTCTTGAGGCTCTGCTCAAACGCTGCTCCACATCCACGCCTCTGCTCTTCCAGGTGTCTCCCTCTGGAAACTCCTGTTACATCAGTTGGATTTAAAAAGGAATGTTTTTAATTGTTACTTTATAAAGTTTGAATTTAATTTCAAAGTGTGAACAGTCTAAAATGACATTCAAGCTTTGAGTTCTCTTACATTATATTCTAAGAACCAAGAGAATATTGAATGTGGTTGAATGATTAAGAGGAGGGAAGGATGAGCCAGGTGCGGCCCACACCTGTCATCCCAGCAGTTCAGGAGGCTGAGGCAGGAGGATCGCAAGTCCAAAGCCAGCCTCAGTGATTTATTAAGGTCTAAGCACTTGGCCATTTAACCACCAAGCCACATCCCAGGCCTTTTATTTAGAGACAGGCTCTGGGATGTGGCTCAGTGGTCAAGCTCCCCCTGAGTTCAATCCAAACTAAAAAAAAAAAAAAAAAAAAAAAAGGGGGGTGAGAAAAAAACTGATCTCATGGACATGCCCTGCTCCGTGTCTAGAAGGTGAGATGCTGGGCCTTCTGCCATGGAGTCACTTGTGCTCCGTGTCACAGCACAGGCACACTGTGTGCTCTTCATGTCCTCTAGAGGACATGTGCGTGTATGGCCACAAGAGCAGATTGATCAGGGCAGCTCACAGGAGCATAGCTGGAGAGGCTCACGCTGGCCTCTGCAGGCTGGAGAGCCACAGGGGCCAGGGATGTGGAGTCCAGGCCTGAAGGCCTGGAGGCTCCCTGGAAAAGGACTAGTGAGAGGGCAGCTGGAGCCCAGGACCCAGGGCAGAGCAGCAGCAGTGGCTCGAACCCCTGGGCCCACTCTTCCTGCCTGTTGGACAGTGCTGCCCACATTCAGGGGAGGTGCAAGGCCTCCAGGGAAGCACCCTCCTGGACACAGGGACACTCCTGTGCTGCACGTCCCGAGTGCCCCCGGTGTGGCTGCACCCTCCCAGCCTGGCACACACTGCATGGTCCCCCTCCTGACTGACCGCTCTCCTTCTAGCCTCCCACGCTGGGGTGTGCCTGCACTGGAGTGAGGGTTTTCCCCAAGCACAGTTGCAGCTCAGGGTGGAGAGCTGAGTGACATGAGAAGAGGAAGCAGCATGCCAGGGACAGCATGGCCCTCCCTTCATTGCCCTGTGGCCATCCTCACCCTGCTCATGGGCCACTCCCCACTTGTGCGGGAGCCATGGCTTCGGGATGCCCAGGTCCCTCTGCCCTGGTGGGGGCAGGATGCCTTCCTGGCAGGGGCCCTCAGCCTTGTGATGTGTGGGTGGACTGAGGGGCAGTCCCCCTCCTGGACTGGTGTCACACTGTGCCAGTGGCACTGCTGGCCGAGTGGCACCATGAGCTGTGAGCACCAGACCCTTGTGCTGGCAGCCTCAGGTGATGAGGGTCCCCACGCCACAGAGGGGTACTCACTGCGTGACATAGATGTCACATGTCACGAGAGACAAAGGGGGATTATGAGGGATCATGAGCAGGTGATCGTGAGTCTGCATCACCAATGCTCTGTGCTAAGCGGCAGGTGTGACCGGTCGCCCCTTCCATAGAACCGTGAGAAGTGCATGGATATCCCAAGCAGGGCCCAGTTGGCTTTGCCGCTTCTAATTGTGACTTGTAATTTCATGTGCTCCTTTTTGTTTTCTCGATTTTGATCTGCAGAGCATCTCATTGACCGAGGGCTTGAGGACTTCTGCCTCCCTGTCTCCAGCAAATGTCTCCTTGGGTCCATTCCCCTCCTCCCCGGGGTCCCCTCCTGGCCTGCCCAGCTTCGAGGACAGCAGCAGCCCCCTTATAGACCCCCCAGCTCCCGACGCCAAACGTTCAGCCTCCGAGCGGAGCCGCAGAGCAGCAGCTGGAGGCCCCGGCCTGCCCTCAGCCCCCCCGCCCGGGCCCCCCGAGCCCCAGCTGGTTCCAGGTGTGGGGCTCTGTCGTGTGGTGGGCGGCCATGGCTCTGTCTGCCCTGTGGGGTGGAGTCTCAGTGCCGTGGACCCAGGTGCAGGGAGGGCCAGGGCCGGGCTCAGAGTCACCGGTGGTGATGGTAGTGCTGGGGGTGCCTTTCCCACAGGCTCACTCCTGTCCTTGGGGGAGGACCCGTGTGGCCAGCAGTGCCGTGGGGCAGGCCCTGTGTTCCCATTGACAAACGCGCAGCTGCAGGTGTCTGAGGAGTTCATAGACGACGACCCCGCAGACATCTCTTTCTTTGCTGGAGGCTCTGAGGCCTTTTCTTTCCCGCCTAGCTCTGTAGTCCCTCAGGAGCCCCAGGTCTCTGCCCAGCCCCCTGCACCTGTGTCCTTCCAGCACCTACAGTCTGCTGGGTCCAGCCCAAACAGCCTCTCTGCCGAGGCAGTAGATGCGAGCGTGGAAGACAGTTTGGAGTTTGGAGAAGGGAGTGATCTCAGTGGCACTTCCGATGCTGCAGAGCTGCTGGGAGTGCAGGTGCGTGCCTGCCTCCCACAGAGCCGGGGGCGCCCCGCGGAGACCAGCTCCCTCAGCGACATGCCACTCCATGGTGTGCTGTCCTTGCACACGGCCAGCTCGGCCAGCCAGTCCGAGGCCAGCTCCATGGTTAACTTCCCAGCCTGCTCAGTCCGCTCCGAGTCCAGCTCGGCCTTCCAGTTCTCTGACATCATCGACCAGTTAGAGCAGCTCAGCTACCCGCCCACAGCGGCCGAGGACTCCAGCAGCACAGACTCGAGCTCGTGGGACTCTGAAGCAGAGGCCCCCCTGGACATGAGCCTCTTTTTCAGCAACCCTTTTGCACAGACCCGTGGGGAGAGAGTCCCTTTTGAGGTGCAGGACAACTTGAAGAGCCTGACTGCAGGAGAGCAGATAGATAGAAACCCACCTGGGCCTCTGTAGACCCCTGCACAGGGAGGCCCGGCTCCCCCACCCCCCATGTGGTGGGGCTCAGGATCCCTGGGTTCAGACACAGGAGTGGTGGACTGGATGTTAGATGTCCCGTTTGGGGTTTTCCCCCTAATTCCTGATTTGTTGTACTCTTACATGTCGGAGACGCACAGCTTCCCCCTCCCCCCAGTAGTGATCTATGCACCCAGTTTAAAAAGACAAGCGCGTGGTTCAGCCTCCGTGGCTTTGGGGTCTTGGGTTTTGAGTGCTCTTGGCTCAAGTCAAAGCTGGTGCTACACCCTTGAAGGTCACGCAGTTCTGATTCATGATGGCCCTTGGTGGACTGTGGTACCCCTGTTAATGCTGCCGGACCCCGACCTTGAAAAAGGTGGGTGGAGACCACAGCCTCCCACATGCCAGGGGTGTCCTGGAGACTGTCCCAGTGCCAAGACTTGAGACCAGACAGTGCTATGGTTGGATAGAGGCCTGCAGGAACACTGGTTTAGAATGTCCTCTTGTGTTTGTCTTCTTTTTGGGGGGGGGGGTGGAGACAGAGGACATGGCTGCAGCAAGCAGAAGCCGTGAGACCTGAGGGTCATAGTGCAGGTGTGCTGGGAGGCACGCTCTGGACCAGAGGGACAGGCTCAGGTGGGCCTGCTCGGGGGACGCTTGTCTAGCACACATGAGGCCCTGGCTTCCATCCCCAGCACCAAACTCAGATAAGAGGAAGAGATGCAGGGACACCCCCGACATGTGGGGCTTGGCCTCACTCTTCCTCAGGGGCGGTGTCCCCACAACAGCAGCCACAGTGTCCCAGGCAATGGGCTCAGCGGCCCTGCGGGCTGCTGGAGGGCACCCCAGTGCACACCACTGTGAAGGCCAGGGCTGGTGCATCCCTCAGTGGGCACCAGAGAACCCACTGCCGTGCACCCCATCGCCAGCCCTGCATGGGCAGCGTTGAGGAGGTCCAGTCCACCACTGGGGTGCTGCATCTTGGGGTTTTGTTAGCAGTGGGTATCCTTTCTGATCCTACCTAAGTTTCTGATTTTTCCGCAAATGTTCCATGGAAACTTGGGACGATCATGTTCCACGTGTGGGAGCCCCTAGTCCTCTGCCCGGGTGGT